TTAAAAATCATTTAACAAGTGAAACAGTGTATGAAGACTTATTTTTAAGTTGTGATCTGAACACACAGGTACCTGAAAGAGGGAATTCTCCTGATTCTGAAAGACTTACTACCCAGCAAAATACAGTTGACCTCAGAAATGATTTTAAAGTCATAGGATCTTTGCATATGCAGGAACAAGTGAGCGAAACCCCAAATGTAGCTAATCCGCAGGTGCTGCTTCCTTTTCTTCAAAACTTATGTAGTCAGGTAAATCATCTTCGGCTAAAGGATGGCAATAGGCATTTTGGTAAAAATGCAGTGACTAAAGAGGAAGGCATTCAGTGCGTTGGGTAAGTTAAGTTTAGTACTCTTATTAAACTAGTAGTTTGACTGTATTTATTGACAAGTTTAAAAAATGAAATACATAATGTAAGCATTTTATTCTCATTAACAGCAATAGTGAGTCAAAATATGTGGTTTTGAAGGTTGCGTGACGATGAACATGATTACAATTAATTTTTCAGATGAGCTGCTTGAATATCGGATTTTTTCAGAAGAAATCACAACATCATTTGTTGTTACTAAACCGTGTCTTTTGCCTCCATTTCACCTTTTATGATTTCAAAACAAAGTGTGGTCCTGCAATTTCATACACATCTAGTTTGTTTTTCTCATCTGTTACTACGTTTTCATTTTGACTACTTCTGCCTCCTAAATTCTTATCTCTTCCTTTTTTCACACTATGTGCCACGGTCTTTCTGCTGTGCTTAGTGTATCTCATCCCACTGATCTTTGCTGTCCCTCCTCATTTGTTGGCATTTACAGCACAAACTTCACAGTAGTAGTAGTAGTGCACCTAGTCTGATACCAAAGGAACAACAGTGGAAATGGTGAGATGTGGGAATGTAGCGTAGGAGTCAGAGTTCTAATAGAGCCTGAATATCTCCAGCTCCTGGGAAAGTGCAGTATTTTTAAAGAACGCAGATGCAAAAATAAAGAATTGCATCATTTGTATAACTCTTGAAACACTTTAGCTGGGAAGAATAGTGGTTTAGTGGGCCTGGTGGTGTTGGGTTGACGGTTGGACTCGATGATCTTGGAGGTCTTTTCCAACCTTAATGATTCTATGAATAAAGCCTGCCATACTGACAGATTTTGACCTCTGTGTATACTGTTGTGTTGTGTGGATTTTGTTATACATAACCAAGCTGTTCAATGCATAATTGAGCCTTTGAAAAAATAAGGTTGAAAGAAGATGACTATATACCCTAGCATGAAATTTAAAATGTGGCAGGCAGGCAAGGTATTTTACTTGTGCTAAAAACCTCATACCATCCAAAGTTTATTGTCTAATAAATGAGATTTTACATTTAAAAGAAGTTCAAGTGCCCAGATCTTTGTCATGCCCCTGTCACTAAGAAATAGGTTATACTTATTCTTATATTTGCTCTTTTCACAGAGTAGAACAACAGCCTATTTGCTCCTATTTGGAAAAGATGATTTCAAAAAAAATGGATCTGATGGAGAAAAAACTAATGGACTATATTGATCACCAAATTCAGGCTCTTCAGACACACGTAGATAATAAAATGGTTCTCTTAATGGACTTGGTTCAGAACTCAAAGCCAAACAAAATTTCACAAGCACGCTATGATTCTAACGAGGGGTTCTCTAATGGAGAGAGATAGATGTGTATAGATAAAGGACTTCAACGTAAGTACTTCAAGGGCAATTATACTTTGCAAAGCTTAGTATTATTTATGGAGTTGTAACTGTAAAGAACCTCAGTGTTGCTGACTTACATTTTGTTACTGTAATTCTATCCACTGTTGTAGACAGTTTGTTGGTTTTATGAAAGATCTTAAGAATGTGTGTTTTTTACAAAATTCTTATATTTAGGATGCCCTTTGTGGCTTATTTATTTAAAGGCATTGCTAAAAGCCATATGAAACAGTTTCCCAGTTTCAGTTTGAACAATGGAGGAATACTCTAAATAAACTGAGTTACAACTTATCTTTTTACCTACATGTAATCAGCTCACTTCTTTGTGGTCTTGATTTTTTTTGATGTCACATGTTGCCAGTAGAACAGAATGTGGTTTCTTTGTGCTTTTGGTTTATTTTAA